TCAATACAGTTTTCTCTCTACAGTTTGCAGGTGGGGGTTGTTTGTGTGTGTGTTTGTTTTTGCAGTTTCATATTTCTCCAATTATTTGAAAAAGGAGAGAGGGAGAAGTTAAGAAAAAGCATATTCAAATCACTACATATAGATGAAGAAGTGTAGATGCTGATAGCCCTATCCTAGCCATGTGAACTTGGAAGCCACTTTTCACAGATACTACCTGAATTTACTTCTTTGTAACTGTTTAGGAATGCAGCAGAATGCAGCATTAATCATGCAATAAAGTTACTGTCAAAATTATGTTCTGGGAAACCCCTTGAGAGCTGAGAGTCTTCAGAGGAGAAGATCAGTAGAACAAGGCAATTTACAATCCTGACCAGAATGACAAAATCCATTAAAAGCAAATGGGTTTACAGGGGCATAACTTGCTTAGGACTGTGTTATTAGGTAGCATGGCTGTCACTGCCAATCTTCCCCTGTTAATACACAGCTACAGGGAGAGGTGGGGATGTGTTTTACAGGGGGATAGTGTGGCTCAGCTGAATATGCATCTCAGATTCTCAGAATATGTCTGAAAATCCTCCCCAATAGATGAGACAAGACAGTTCTTTAAACCCACCACATCCCTAAATGGGATGGGATTAATATTCCAGTTATTCCGAATGCATTCATATTTTGTTGGAGGACCTAATTTCCAAATAATTATGCATCATAATGAACCCTTGAGAATAGCTTTCTCTGGATGGCATCCCCATGACATCAGATACCTATGGCAGAAAAAAGAGAAAAGAAGCCATTGCATTTTTAGAATTTTTTGCATTATACAGAAAATCATGCTGTGGTCACCCTAAATGCTAATGCCAATGGTTCTTGAAAGTCCTGTAGCATTATTATTGTTGGCACAAATCGCCTAATGATTTTGTTCCCAGTCCCTAAAACTACAGACTCCAAGTTGGGTTAAGTAAAGGGCTTTTTAAATTTAATAGATTGACTGCATCGCCTTTATTCTTAGTCTCTATTAGTTCTGATTCCCTAAGAGGCTATACAACAGTCTCAGCCTGCCTCAAAGCTCATAGCGATAATGAGACAACTCTTCCTGATTTTTTCTTGCCTGCACACCAAACCAGCCTGATAGATGCTTGTCACACTCTGCCAGTGCCAGTCAACAGTCAAGCTTAGGTGATGATACCTAGCACTGAGACAGTTCCCCCGGGCCCTCTCTGGTCAGCCTGCAGTATCTATTCTGTGGAAATGCATCTTCACTCCCTTTCTTCTACAGGATCCATAAATCAGTTCTGCTGTGTTGTGTGTTTTTTCTAAGTTTAACCTTTTTAAATTTAACCAACTCCTTTTATCTGCTTTTGACTCTGGGTTCTAGACAGTTGGCTTAACAGAGTATTTTCTGATTCTAAATTACTTCATGCATTGAGTCATACCCCAGTACTGGGAGGAAATTGGCAGGCTGAAAGAGAGAAAAAGACTTGGAAGCCTGGATTCCCCTGTTTCCTTTGTTTGCAATATACTTGGGCATTATAAGCCCTTGTGGATCCCTATTGGGGAGGAAAACAGCATATAAACACTTAAATAAGCAAAATCAAATCAGACTATTTTCCCTGTGTAAATACTGGGGGAGAACTTTTATTCGTCAACAGCCTTTATCCCACATATTTTGGTGAGGAAAGGTTACATTAAAGGCTTTAATACATTTAATTGTAATAAATATTAAATATTGGGGATTTGGGGCTCTTACCTTGTAGGAAAGGAAAACCCACATTTTTCTTCCCTCACAAAAGGATAGATAAGCAATAAGGTAATATTTCCCTAACACATTGAATCACAAGTGTGTAATAGATAGTGTCATCTAAACAGAGTCATTCCCTTCGGAGACTGGTGACTTCATTGGATTTACGTGTGCATAACTTGTGCTCAGGTTGCCACTTTAAAAGTATTGTTCATTTTTACAAAAGCTTTATCTATAGCTAAATATTCCCCATTTCCCCCCTCCTGTTAATTGAATAATGTATACTGGTTGCCCCTGAAGAGGGACTGATTACATATGTTCCCAAATCTTTTGAATCACTGTCACTTACATTCACTCTGTTATTGCTTCTTTCTTCATAGCTTTGATATATCCCTGACAGAAGTTTCCATACATCTCTTTGTCTTTCTGAGGAGCTTTGTTTCTTCAGTGCTAAGGCTTACATCACTCCATAATAGCGATCTCTATATAATTTGCTATTTATATTCTATACTCTGAGGCAGAAAAGCTCCCTTGACATTTCTGATAATGGATACTGTAATCTAAGGCAAACTCAATTAATAAGATGATCAAAGGGACTAAGGCCATGTTTCCTCAACTTCTACCATGCTCAGCAGTCAGGGTGGGGGTCCCAAAGAGGTCCAAGTCCTAATTAATTTCTTGTTCCAGATTGGCTTTATGCCATTTTATTCTACCAATTTAGGATTATCATCATTATGTCTTTGTTATACATTCAGTGCCTTGAGGCTAAAGTTGTCACTGTATGTGTGGATAGATACCAGTGGTGAACATTTCAAAAATTATTCATTTAATTCCACATTGGAACATTTGGGAAGGGCATTATTATCGCTTTCATATCAGGAGTATTATTAATCTGGCCTGTAGCTAACGTGGGGGCCACGGGGCCCGCCCCCTAGTGTTTCTTCTGGGCCCCCTCCCTCCTGGGCTGCCCCCAAAGTGCTCCAACTTACCACCTGCACTGTACTCCCATTTAATTAGCTGGTGGGCCCCCCGAGGCCCCCTCCCAAAGAATTCCCTAGCTACAGGGCTGGAAATGAGTCTGGAATAATTTATGTTGTAATCAATATCAGAACAGCACTCCCAGATTATTGGGGGAGGGGACATACCCTGGCTGAAGAAAATTAAAATGATAATTTTTGAAGTCATGCCCCCTGAAGGAACTAGAAGGAGGAAGGGAGGGACAGGAAGCATGTCCAAATCCCTATCTTGGGGTATTGACCAATTTAAAAGGACCCTTATTTTTATGGGCAGTAGACCTTGTCTCTGAGTGGTCTTCAGGTCTTCTGCCCATAGAAAATAAGGGCCCTTTAAAGTTTAACAGACTGGTGCACTGCAGACCAGCTGGGGTCTGGGGAGCACTTCCTTTTCTTTCCTCCCTCCTCACATTGTCTTCCTGATACAATTCCCCATGACAACATTATTCAGAATAGGAGTATCAGAATTACTGGAGTGGGCTGTTACAAAATCAGGTATTGGTCATTAGATCCAACACGGGAAATATCCAGCATTTTATCAGGTTGGCCATGTCCGATTGCACAACCCTAAAGGGATAGGATTGCAGTTTGTTGCAATGTTTATTGTACATATTCTTATTGTGCTGTATTCTTTTTTAAATTTCATTGTCATTTGCCTTTTAAACTCACTTTCTGCATTATGGTATGTTATGACTTGTAGAGATTTTGTTGTGGTGGTTTACACTGTTTTTCAGTTCAGTAATATTAGCCCTACTGCACTGTTCATGGAGGTCTTTGCTATCTGGTTGAATTGATTTTTATATTTTGTAATGTGTCCTGAATTTTAGTGAGAGACAGAGTGTAAAAGAAAGTAATAAAATAAAACAATAGATATGATGGGTATTACATACAAATAATACAGAAATACTTGTTGAACATTTGTTCCGTGTGAGAGGTATGAGTACTGGGACTGTGGAATACCCCAAGAAAAGAAATTCACTTATGACATAGAATCATAGAGTTGGAAAGGAACATACAGACCATTTAGTCCAACCACCTGCCCAATGCAGGACCAGCCTTATGACATCCCTCTATAGTGTTGGGAAAGCATTTAAAAAACTCCTATTTCTCCTTCTAGGTATTAAGTCTTCAGGGTTATTTTGCACTCCGAGGGAATACAGTTCATTTACAAACAAATACATACCACTCTGTGATTAAAAATTATAGTGACCAGACACTTACTTCTGTCTGCCTGAAATTTGGGAAGCAAGATTCCTAGGGCCAGGGATCTAAATAACTGATATTGCCACTTAAATTGGGTGGGTTAAAAAAAAATCCCCAGAAATGTTCCAAATTGAAATCAAAAGAAATAATTGGACCAATTTTGTAATATGACTAGTTTTAATGTGGACATTGAAGAAGATGAATCACGTACCTATTATGATGCATTGCAGGCTGCTCCTCCCCAAAATGGCCAAATACGAAAATCCAAATATTTATGCACACCCTTAATTTTTTACTATTGCATTTTGTTCTTGTACATGAAAGCTGAAGCCCTAAGGATATATGGGTGAATAATACGGCTGCCAAGTTCATCCTGGCAAGTGGTGGGGGATGGGTAGGGACTTACCAGGAGAAAGAGAAAGACCCAGGCCAAGTCACCTGCATGATACAGGAAGTGAGATCATCACACCAGTTACTTCCAGGTGATGTTCTGGTATTTGGGTAACAACTCTATGGTAACACTAGCTTCTACCATAGCATTTTTGCACAAATACCAGAGTATCACCCAGACTTCACTGATATGATGATATCACTTCCCGGGTGACATGGGCCATGTGGCCTGGGTCTTCCTCTTTCTTCTAGTAAGCCCCCCCCCCCGCCAGCTGATCAGCAGCTGGCAACACTAGTGCACTTGGCTAGCCTGCATTGTACTTCAAAGGCTTACTGCATGGGTTAGTTTCTAAAAAATGAGGGTGGGAAGAAAGACAGGCATTGTGGCTGCTGGGAGATATGAGGTTGGATCCATGCTAAATTTTCCACGGGCAGAATAGAACCTCCATGCCTCTTTCATCCCACTTCAGCTCGCTAATCTCCACAGGGGACCCTGAGGGATTACTTGATGGGAATCACATCATCTCCATTCTCAAAGAATTTCCCTTTATGTGCAGGGAGTGAAAGAACACAGAAACGTAGACAGCAATAAGAACAAACTTATTGTGTTTCCATTGATAGATATGTCATTTTCACTCCAAAAAGGGGAGTGATAAATATCATGTCATACAGTGTATAAATCTCTTCAAGCAGTTTCTTCCAGCCTCCCTGACTTCCTTATTTCTTAGGCTGTATATCAGGGGATTGACCACTGGAGTCAAGATTGTGTAGAAGAGAGAGAAGACTTTCTTCATTTCTCTTAGGTTTCGGGATCTTGGTACCATGTAAACAAGCATGATTGATCCATAATACAAGGCAACCACAGTGAGGTGAGAGGAACAGGTGGAGAAAGCCTTTCTCCTCCCAATGGTAGACGTGATTCTCAGGATAGACATGATGATGAAAATGTAGGAGGAAAGGATGAGGAGAAAGGGAGGCAGGGTGAGCACAATAGCACATATGAAAGATGAGAGTTCAAATAAATGGGTGTCACTACAGGAGACGTATCTAATGTCAGAACTAATATCACAAAAATAATTGTCTATTTCATTAGGGCCACAGAAGGATAACCAGGATATTTCTAAAGTCAAGCTTGTACTGAGTAAGACTCCGCTTACCCAAGACATAGCTACAAGCTGGAAACACAACCTGCCATTCATAATAGTAGCATAATGGAGTGGTTTACATATTGCTAAATACCTGTCATAAGACATCATGGAGAGGAGGTAGCATTCAGTACCTCCCAGGCAAGTGAAAATGGAAAATTGTATGAAACAGGCTTTGAAAGATATACTTCTTTCCCCCATCCAGAGGTTTAGCAACATTTTAGGCAGGATGGTGGAACTATAGAAAATTTCCAAGAAGGACAAGTTTCCCAAGAAGAAGTACATGGGGGTGTGAAGGTGCTGGACAGTCACAACCAGCACAATAATGAGGAGATTCCCAGCCATGGTGGCCAAATAGATCACGAAGAAGAGCAGGAAGAGAAGAATCTGCACTCTGGGGAGACCTCCAAATCCCAACAGGATGAATTCAGACACTGTTGTTTGATTTTGCTGTTCTCTGTTTGCCATCATCTGCTCCTTGAGGAAACAAAGAATATCACTTAATGCAGTGCAGAGTCAAAAGGGTGACAAGTCATTTGATAGCATGTTGCAATCAAAAGAAACTCTCTACAGAGGCATGCCCATAATCAATATGAATTATAACTTTGTTTAGGCTGTAACCCAACAATAATGTCACCAAGCAGGGATGTGAGGGCAATCTGGCTGCGACATCTGTCACCCCATTGATCGCAAGGGTTGACTCGTCTGATCTGGCTGGCTAGGCGGGTGTCCTCTACCTCCCTCACTGATCCATATGCATCCCTACCAAAGCTGCACTCTTGGATGAAAAGGATGACCATCCCAGATAGAAGTAGTGTACCGTTCTTTGGTCAGGGGTATACAATAGCTGCACTCCCCTACTAGAACCTCCAAACAAGCTCAAGGTCCATAATGTCACCAAGCAGTACATAGAAGGTGGCTATCATTAACCTCCATACCATAAACCCCTTGTCACTTAGTCATGATACTGGAATCAGAGTGGCTTTAGGTATAGGGGTGTAGAGATGCGTGAAGAATGACTCTGATCCTAGAAGCAGTGGGGAATTCAAATGCTTTATTGCAATTGATGGGGCTTTAAGGACAAATCCCTTGAGTTGTCTAATTTCTTCCACTTTAGATCGAATTTTACTGCTATATACTTGGGCTACAGATGAAATGTTTGCCCATGTTTTCCCACAATGTCCATCTTTGCTAGCAAAGATTCCTCTGTAGGTAGACCATGAGCTGGTATTTAATATCTGGTCTCCACTACCTTGGACGCGAAATGGTCTCAGCTTTCCCACTGCCCTCCCCCCAATGGCCCACCTCCAGGCTGCTAACTTTTTGTTGCTTATTACTGCAGTACATGTTCCACCGTCTCCCAATGTGATCGCACTGGGTGTTTGCTGGAGTACATTGGAACCCTTCTTGGATTAAAAGATTAAAGTTACCATGATACTCATTTTGCTTTTCTCTATAATAAATACTATTTATCAGTTATAATTTTATCTGAATGCTTTACATACAGTTTGAAAGATAAGACAATGTATTTTGATACTTTACCCAGTGTTTATATCATGTGAGAAGGTTTCTCTAAAGTGATGCAGCTGTAATTTCAGGATGTATTTATTTATTTATTTATTACACTTATATCCCACCCTCCCCTACAAGCAGGCAAAGGGCAGCTCTCAACAAAACCCACAATCAAACAAATAAAACAGTGAAACAATAATCAAATTATAACCCCCATAAATTAAGATACCAGAACAAGATGGCAGAAGAAATTCACAACATCCCTGGAAATTCACAAAATTCCCAATGGAACAGATATTTGCCAATGAGGTAAGAATACCATTTGTAGATAGAATATGGAGGACAGGGTGAAGCAAGGGAGGCCATACCCAGGCACCCACCACCTCAGCCAAAGGCCTGGCAGAACAACTCTTTTTGTGTGGGTAGAGAGACCCTTTGGCTAACACATTTCAGCAAAAAATGATTTTCAAGTCATATGGAAAGCAATAGATCTGTGAATATGCTCCACTGATATCAATGGGATGTGCTCACATGTCTGTATAGGAATCCAGAGGAACTGAAACATTAAACCCCAAATAAGTGACTTTTCAGTGGTGTTCTTGGGAGGCTGGAGCACCTTGTTTTGTTTTTAATTTATCAAGGGAACTACAATTAGAAGATGAGTAATAATTTCAGTCACAGGAGGAGGTTGGGAATGTTCTACTTACAGTTTATGTCTGGTCACAGTGATACCCAACATACCGGTGGATAATGCCCCAGGTGAACTGAATTGTATATCTCAGAATACATGCCACAAAACCGCAGTGCAGATGGATTTTTTATCAGATGTTGGAGTTGAGTTAGAAAGAACATTCTCTAAATAAAATTTTAGAAAAGCAGCCTTTCATTATTATTCCTAGGCATTTATATCCTGTGGATTTCAACTGGAATTTGATCCTTACAAACTATGCATAATAGTTACATAGATTAATTGCAGCATCCTAAGAACAGTTTTGGGGGTGTCAGCCTCATGGAGTAGACTTGAATGAACTTCTTAGCAGGATAGGATGCATAAGAGCACCGCACTTTACTTAATGATTGTTTTATACTATTTAATGACTGTTTTATGTTGTTTTAACTGTTGTTATGGCAATTGCCTCTGTTGTAGCCGCCCTGAGCCCATTGGGAGGGCAGGGTACAAATCTAATGAATCTCTCCCTTATAATAAAAGAGTTTTGGGTGCCAAAGTTCTAAAATGCACTCCTTTAGTGTTAGGCCGAAAAAACTGCCACTCGGAAGACACTGGCTGGGTTCATTGGCTGCTTTGTGCAGTCCCGGCCAGCGTTCCAAGGTCATTTACATATGGAAGCTGATTGGACTACACTCCATTCCACACCTGAAACTCACCCCCCCCCCCGCAAGGCAGTTGGAATTTTCAGTTGGAAGAGCAGAATGATGTCAGCTGCTCCCTAGGCA